CTATCTAAATCTATGTACCTCCTAATTAGCTTATAATGCTCAATTTAGACACAAAATAATATAACTACTGCAGAACTAGTATGTAGTATTTATAATATATAACTATATTTATAATATATAACTGTATTTATATGCAGTACTACTATCAATACTAGACACTTCTATGTATTGGTAAAGTATAGGCTATATTTTGTAACAAAGTTGCTTCTAACTAGATTCATAATATATAGTACTACTTCTAACTTGTTTTTGTATTAGCTAGTATTTAATATTAGTATGTCTTTGTACTCAGATATATGATTGCATTACTAGCCTAGTGCTTTCTGCTAATTGAGATTATTATGCATACTATAGATAGTAGCTAACTCTCTACAGAACTGAGACTTTCCAATTCTAGCTTTCATATATACTAGAGATATTTTACATCTAGTTAGGACAATCTTTTACTACAGATTTCTATTATATTTACTACTTTACTTATTACTCTAGCTCATATTACTTTTATATTATTCTTTTAAGCAAGTTCTCTACTACTAGAGAAGTTGTTGTTGCCTAACCCTCTGAGGACTTATTCGTGTAATACTTATATAATAAAACCTTCTGTAACACTGCTGTTACATATAATGCTAACTTACTCTATAATATTAATCTTCTTCTGAGAATTCTTTTTCTAGAATCTTGTACTTTATTGGTTTTACTACAGAGTTTTGCATTCGATTAATAGTTTTTATAAGAATTACAAAAACAAATATAGCCAATTAGACTCAAACTATTGATCTTGTCTATGAGAGTTGAGAGCTTAACCAACTAAGCTATAAGACCCAACTCTAGTATATTCTTTTTATTAATCTGTTTGTTTTTATATTTTATATTAATATTTTTTTTATATTATAAATTTCAAAGCTGTTATTATAAAAAAATTTACTTTTAGTAAAAGTTTATTTTTTGGAATTGAGTTTTTATATAGATATACAAATATTATAATTTTTTTAATAGTTATTTTTGTTTTTTCTAATATTTTTATAATTTTAATAAGAAATTTTATATAATAGTTAAAAACTAAAAAATATTTAAACAGTAATAATAAAGTTTTTCTTTATTTGTTTATCTAACTATTTAAAATCTCTAGATAAATTTTTTAATTTCTTCTATTTCTAGATTTAACTTTGATAATTATTCAAATTTTAGGTTAGTCTGTATTTCAATTCTACAGTTACTACCAAATTATAGAAGTTTTTCTTAGTTAGAACTTAATTATATTATATAGTATATGATAAATTAGATCTAACTATAATAACAACAATCTAATTTTACTCTAAATAGAAAGTCTTAAAAGAGAATATAGAAGATTTAATTTGGGTTTTATAACTATTCTTAAATTATCTAGATTAGTTAGTTTTTAGAGTTACATGATATATTTATCTTAATTCTAATTTCTAATAAGTCAAAAAATAATTTACTTAACTTATAGTAATAGTTTTTTTTGTTATTAAGAAAAGATATTTGAGTATAAGTAAATTTGATATTTTGAAAGTTATTTAGAGATTTTGAATTGTCTTAAACTTGAGATTCATTATTATTAAAAGGAAAAAGATATTTCTTATATAGATAAATTTATATATATAAAAATAAGATGAATACAAAAGATAAGTACTATCCTATAGATAAATATTACTAATCCTATAATTATTATATTAACTATTTGTTCTTTTGTTGTTATAGTTTTTAACTATCCTTTACAATCTTTTTGATTTTGTAGATCGATACTATAAGAAAATAAGAATAAAAATCTAAGAAATCATACATAGTATTACATCAAAAGGTAGTATATTCAGAGAGTCAAATTAGCCCTTTATATCATGAAATATAGCTGCAACTAAGTTATATAGATCAGAAAGTAAACCTAGTAGTATTAATTATTAATTAGATTAAATTCAACTAGTGTTAATTGACTACATTTGGAAGTAACTATTAGATAAATTACAGTATTATTTGTTTAAAAATTGTTTATAATTATCTCTTTTTTTGACTAATAGTTGAGTTATAATAAAATTATTAGAAAATAGATGAGCAAATAAAGATAGACAATATTATATAGTTGGCCTATTTTATTATTAGCTATTCTATCTTTATAGTAATTATATTTAAGTTATATAAATTCCTATATACTTTATATATATATATATATATATAACTTATAATACTTAGTTTTCTTTAGGCTATATTTATGTAGTCTATATAAATTAGATAATACAAAGAGTAGGTATAAAGCTATATATATGCTAAAAAAGAATTAAGTAGATGTAGTAAAATATTGTTTATCTTCATTTGCTAATCTATTTTTAAATGATCTTTGTTATAATTCGATGATTAGTCAAAATAAACTTTGTAAGTTTTAATAGACAATATTACATGTAAACTGTAGAGTAACTAATTTATATATTTAGTCTAATTAATATTAATATACTTGATCTAATATTTTACTTGCTAAGTAGTTTTTTACTAGAGTTTTCTTTATTCTTCTCTGATAGAACTTCTTATAAATCTCATTAGATGACTAGTTCCTAAATATGAGTAATATGTTTATATCAGTTTCTGACTCTTGAGTAAGATAGATAGATATTGTTTTAATATTCTTTGCTTTGGCTTCAGAGTTAGCAAATATAAGAATATTTTTGAGTTAGCCTGAAATCATATTAACAGAAACAGATGTATGAGAATTGATTATTGATAAAAATTATGCATTCTTCTAAGATTCAGTTGTTCTCCAATCTTTAGTGTAGTTAATTAGTTTTAATAATGCTAATGCAGAGTATAAAAAAGAGTTGTCTTTATAGCATTCTACTATTAACAATTTAAGCCTAGGCTTTTTACTTCTATATACTACTGAAATGTTGAGTTTCTTAAGACTAACTATACTAAAGAAAAAACTATTCTCTATAGTTGTTATAGAATTTAGAGATATGCATTATAAATTACTTGGTCATAATACTGATATAATTATAATCAAGAATATAGTTTTTCTTATTAGACTTAAAGTTAATATATCCTTGTTATAGCCCAAAGATTTGATATACTACAAAGAAGGTGTTATATCAATTGTATCCTCAGATAGTTGTGGAGAAGAGTTGTTCTTGTAAATTGAAACTATTAACCTTACTATACAAGGGTGATATTTGATAACTATATTATAAATAGGCTTATAAATTTTACTAATTGTAATGCAGTAAGTAGCTATGGTATTATAAGCAAGACTTTCAATACTCATCTTAGCTAAGAAGTCTAGAATACTATTTATAGAATACTATACAGGATCAACTGATATTTTTTTATACAAAATTAGCTACTTCTTAAGTACTGACTCTACTATACTATTTGATAATTATTCAGAAGCTTCTTGAACTAGACTAAGAGCTTTTTCTGAAAAACCTTTCTCTTAGAGAGTTTTCCTAAGATAAAACAAGCAAAGATCTTCTATACTGAGTTGTATAATAGATACTGATAGCTTATATAGCCTAGTATAAATAGATTTTTGTTTGTTATTAATATAGATAGCTTGATTAGAAGGTCTAGTAGAGTAGAAAACTATGAAGCTATTGTTCAGCATGAGACTAAAATCACAATTGTTGCTTTGTCTTTTATTACTTTCAAAAGAATCTTATAAATTAATATCTATTGTGAGTTGGCCTAACACTTTTAATTTATCCATTACTATGCTAATGCATTAACTACTACATAATCTAAGTTGTGATATCTTGAATAATATATTAGTAGCTGAGTATTAATTTAATTGGCAAATAGATCCACCTGTAATAGTCTCCACATTCTCTGAATTTTTTAAAAGATCCTTAGTTTTATTATCTAATTGTGATAATCAAATATTCTTCTCAAAGCAATATCTGCTATTATGTTTTGCTTGCTTGGAATATGTTAAGCTATTAGCTTGATATTCTATGAGATGTATAATTTTTATATTTTTTTTGCTAAAAGATTCAGACCTGATAATATAGTTCTTCTTTAATAATTCAGATAGTAACACAAGTCATATTATCTGATCTTACTATTACTGCTTTGTTTTTTAAGTCCTTTAAAGCTAAGAAAACATAGTATATTACTGTTATTTCTAAGATATTTATATGAAGTTTGCTTTAGTTATAGTCTTAATGACTAGAAATTAGCTATATATTATATGATATACTCTAACCTGTTGTGGATATATCTGTATATAGTACTGTTGTTAGCAAATCTAGAATTATACTTATACTATTCTATTTGACTAGGTTTTGTGCTTACTACACTAGTTACTAATAACTTTTTAAGAACAGAAATAACATACAATCCTAGCCTTTTTGCTTTAATGCAGTATTTTTGTTACTTAGTAGGGCTCTTGTCATTAACCTTACTGAAAATACAGTACTAATACTTGCTAAAAGCTTTCCTAATATTAATACTAGTTTTCTTATATAAATTGTGAACCTGTTCAAAACAGACTTGCATTTCCTAATAATATCTATTACTTTTGCTCTTAGTAATGATATAGTTATTGATATTAAACTTATTGTGAAGCCTAGGTATTGTATTTTTTTTGAGAGTATGAGGTTTGATTTGCTATAATTTATGATAAATCTGTGCTTAATTAATATCTGTAAAACTTTGTTGGTATATCATTTTGCCTTTTCTTTCAAGATTGAACAAATTAGAAGATTATTAATGTAAGCTATTATCCTGATTCCTATTGATCTTATGCAAGAAATTAAGAGCTTCAACATCTTGGTAAATATTCTGGAACTGCTAGTTAATTTAAAAGATAAGCATATGTACTAATATCTTTGTTGTTTGAATTCAAATATAAAATATAGTCATAACTACTAAGATAATAACATATAAAAAAATGCATCTGTAATATTTATAGAAATAAAATAGTTGTTCCTTTTTATTATATCTTTTACATATTATATTGTTTCTATCTTGAAGTATATAAATCTTATGAAGCTGTTGAGTCATCTTAGATCTACTACTAATTGTCTTTGATCTGATTTCTTAGGTATTGCAAATACTCTGAATAGAAAACAAGAACTATATTGGCACTTTAATGATTACTTATTTTTCTAAAAGAGTATCCAATTCCTATCTTATAGTGATTCTTTTTTTTAAGAATAGAGTAGTGTTCTTAGTAGTCTGTTGTTTCTTTAGTAAGAGTAGCATGTACCACTCTAGGGTATATCTATATATTAGAACTATAGCTACTCAAAATAAACCTGAAGTAAAAGCCTATTAATCTTTATGAAGTAATAGCCTTCCTGCTACTTGAGAAGCTATATTCTGTTTTATTATTGATCTTCTTGTGTATAGCAGCTTAGTTATAAAGACTAACTGCCTCTTTAAATATTTTCCTATTTGTTGAAATTTCTATTATAAAACTAATAATTGCTGTATCTACTATTGCTTGCATTATTATTGAAATGAGAATGAGTTATCCTTGTATTATTACTAGTATTGCTTCTTCTAGAAGAAGCATAGTTCTTAAATCTAAAAACCAGATTGATAAATGAATTAGTAGTATTCTTATTCTCAATAAGCATTTTGAGATCTTTTCCAAAAACTTACTCATTTTTATTAGGTGAGTTATATTCATATGATATGCAATTAATTGTATTGTCTCTTCTAGTCTTGTTGATGTAGAATAGGAAATCCAATAATAATATTCTGGCATTTGTAAGTGATGTTTCAATAGTTTCTAATACAAATATAGTATCTATATCTTCTTCTGGTAATTTAGATATGTGAATAAACTTGAGTATATTTTCTATTGAACATAATACTGCTAATATTCTATATAATACTCTTGATAGAACTTTGTCAGTTTCTTTAGACTATGAAGGAAGTAGTTTTCAGATTCTTTTATCTATGCTTAGTAGGTTGTATTTGACCTATATATTATGTAATTCATTTCTAAATATTAAAGACCTTTCTTCTTAAAAAAGTAGATTGTTTTTATAAATATTAGTTAGAAGACAAGCTATTTCCCCATGTGGAGTTCAGGCTAGTCATATGTCATTATCATTTGTTTTAGAATTAATGTTAATGACACTCATACTGAAGATATTGTCATCATTATCTTCATATGTATCATTTGGGGGTTCATTGTGGTGAATGTTTTCAATATTTTCATTATAAATATTATTTTGTAAAATTTCTAAAGCTTCTGTTTGGCTTTTTAACATAGTGAGGCAGTAATCAGAGCATGAACTGCAGCCAACATAAAATGGCCTAAAGAGAACTAAGTACTATAAGTTATATATATAAAGGTATATAGAAATTTGTATAACTTAAATGTAATTACTACAAAGATGGAGCAGCCAAAAATAAAACAAACTGACTACACGTGATATTGTCTATCAAAGCTTGTGAAGTTCATTTAATTATATCAATTATCCCTTATTATATCACTGCCTTAATTAATCATCCCATTAGTTATATCATCTCAAGTGCTTAGTGCTCTTCTAATATACAATAGTAACAATGATCACAAGTATCGACATAAATTTAACAAAAAAATTTGGCTGTAAAAAATTTACATTGTTATGTTTAGAGTTAGAATTAGGGTTGTGTTAAAAAATTACAATCTTGTATTACTTGTAATTTTATATAAGTTTTGGTAAATCAAATTACACGTAAGTTTAGTCACTAATATAAAGCACTAGAATTACATAAATTTTGCCTAGTTTTATTCACTAGATTTATTTGAATATCATTATATTGAAATATAAATTGGATAATGAATTGCTAACTGTACGTTTATTTAAATGAAGATTTTGCAAATATATTAATTTTGTTTTGTGATTATTTTTACTCTGTAAAAAATTAGACAGCAAAGTAAGCAAAGAATTCTGAATGATAAACAAAATAAAAAACAAGGTTAGATAATACAGTAGCAATAAAAAACAATAGTTTCAGGAAATACAGCAAAAATCAAAGAAAAAAAAATATTTTTTTTAAGTAGCAATTGAGTAATCAAATTCATTATACTCACTATCATCTAACATATTAAGAAGATTGTTAGAAAAATTTGCAAGATTATTTTCTTCCAGCATATTATCACTTGAATTACTTAGTTCTTGGTTGTCTAAATTAATAATATTAATATTATGAGTTTCATTATTTTGTAGATTCGTAATTAAAATAGGTCTTTTTAATTGACAAAGAATTCGAGTATTCCAATATATATAAACCAGTTTTTCTGCTTTTTTAGAAAGCAGTCTGTTATTAATTTGGAATAAATAAACCTATAAACAGACCAATTGCACTCACTAGATGCTGAAGTTGCTAGAATAGATAAGATTTTTTATGCAACTTAGCCTAAAATTGGATACTGTACACTCATTAAGTTCTACCAATTAAGTGGTTTTAAGGTAAAGTTATTTCATAAATAGGTTTTTGCAAAACCTCCCGATTTTCTAAGATATTCAGCCAATTCATTTAATACTTGATCTTCATTATCATTATCAATACTAGCAATTCGAATTACTTCCTTATTAATAATATCTCTCCACATTCTAAAATCAAGATCTTCATTCTGATATTTTGGATCAAGTGTATATGCAATGATAACTGCAGGATTGTATAAAATATTAACCCATCTAGACCTAGTAGTTTGCAAAGCTTCATTTTGCAATTCTTCTGGAACTTGCAAATTATTTACGATAGTATTTTTTAATTTCTGTAAATTTTTATATGCTGAAGAAAGATATGGCTCATCACTTTCTAAACAGCATATAAAATTAATAAAAAGTTCTAAAAAATCTTGTAACTTTTTAAGGTTTAACTAAAATTTATGATCCAAAATTGTATCTTTAATGTTGTCATTTATTTCAATATTTTCTTCAGTTAACACTGCATATATTGCAGATCGAACTCATAAAACATGATCAAAATACTCAAAAACTGATGTCTATCTTGTATCAACAATCATAACAAATATAATTTCGGTATTATAAATTTCCTTTTGCAGATAATATAAAACAGCCAATAGAATCAGATAGTTATGAAAAAACAGAACTAACTTCTTGGCTTTTTTTAAAACATATGCAGCCCATTTATTTTTGAGAATGTCTTTAACCCAGAGATTGATGCTGTGTGCCCAACATCTGATAAAAACTTTATCTGGATATTTAACTTTTAAAATGTTCCAAGCTGCCTTCATGTTTTTTGTGTTATCTGTAATAATACTAACATATTTGTCAATTCCAGTTTCTCATATCACATTGTTGATCCCATTAGCAATGTTTTCAGCCATGTGATGTTCTTCACATGTGTGAACTGATTTATAGAAGATTGGTGCAGGTATAGTAATCATATAATTTATTACAGATGATTTGTTAATGTTTGTCCAACCATCACTAACTAGACAATGATAAGGTGATTCATCAAGAACATTTTGAACAGCTACTTTTAAATCAGCATGTTCTTTATTAAGAAGAGAACAAGAAAAGGTAAAATTGTATTAAATGGAATTCCTAAAGTGAAAAAGGCATGGGCAAATAAAGTTTCTAATTCACTCTGATCATGATCTGATGTTAATTGTTTTCGTTTCTTATTAACATTTGAAGCTTCATTTATTGTTGAATTTCGCAAAGAACATATATCCAAATGCTCCTGTAATCTT